AGTACCAAGAGCATTTGCTTAAAGTCAAGCCAAAGTTGAAAAACAAAACCAGAGTAATGTTGTATATAGCTTTATTGTTCAGAAATCTTTTCCAGAAACAGAGAGAGACGATAATTTGCCCACAAGAGGGGTGAGAGTTACAAGTCCAATTTCTGAAAACTTACACAGAGGGAGGTCTTCCAACTCCCAGGGAACGAGCTACAGCCCTTCCTTAGCACGACGACAGAAGCCCCATCTCCGCTACAGCAAGTTACCCGCTGACCAGAAAAGCCTTACTGCCAAAGAATAACTTCCTCTTCAAAGCTGCTGAAGCCGCACAATTGTTCCCTTCAAGGATTACATTATGTACTATTAGCCACAAGAATTAAAAAACAAAAACACAAACCTAAATCTGACTCTCTTTTTTAAAAAAAAGTGTTCATTTCATTTAGTCTCTAAATGTTGTATCAAAAACCAGTGAAGAGTACACACAATTACTTCTGCAAAAACTTGATCTGCGCTCTTCATTTAAAATGCCTAAAAGTAAGGGCAAGGGAACTATAAATAAAATGTTGTCTACCCTGCAAGTCTTCAACTCAGACATTTAATCTTTCAGGAAATATTGATTTGCTGTTAGCTTGGAACATCAAGTGAACAGAATATCCAATGATGTTATGCTTTTCATTCGTTCGGAAATGAGGCACTCTATAGTGATTGGGCAGTATTATATTACACCTTAATTACAACAAGCTGAGGGTGGAATATTAACCAGCTGAACTAATCCTTTTCTCTCCATTCTAGAGAGTACAGTATAGTGACATGACACCATTAGAGAAAATAGCAAATTGATCAAAAAACCCGAGGTAACAAATTTAAAAACTTGGCAGCTGACTTGCCCCCAACAAGCATGTGCATGTATACACACACATTTATGTAAAAGTCAGGACCACGAATGGGTACAGATTGGACTTCCCTGGTCCAGGATCCTTGGCCTGAAAAGTGCTGAATGAGGGGATTTGCCAGACGAGGTGATGTCCCTCCCTTCATGGCCCCTGCTGCTCCCTGGGCTAGGGCTCAAATCCCAGCCCATCTGCCCAGCCAGGACTTTCTAGCCGCAGCCAGAGCATCACACAAAGGCTGAGGCTCCCTGGCTGCAGCTGGGGCTGGAGCTCCCAGGCTGCTGCCTGCCCCACTACAGCTGGGCTGGAGCTCCCCGGCCACTGGGGCCAGAGCTCCCCACTATAGTGCCCCCTCTCCTCTTCCAACAAAGGACTCCTGGCTGAGTCACCGGCACTACCTGCTGCACTCCTGCCCTGTTGCCAGACCTGGGTTCTGTGATCCAGGACTCTGTGGTACAGGAACATCCGTTGGATCACTTGTACTTGCATGTGGATACACCCACTGTTCATAAAATTGGAGAGATACATGTATGTATGTATATTTTGCAAGGTGCAAGTCAAGCAGTAGGTTTTGAAAAACTGGCACTACATTTTCTGTTGTAGTTCGCTAGAAAAAACATGACTAAAGGCAAAATGACACTTTTTGCATAGTGTTAGTAGTTACCTAGAATTCCTCTCAGAATAGCTGAGAAGTGTCATGTTTATGACATGAGGGCGGGGAAGAATGTGGGGGGGGAAGGGTGGATAAAAAAATCCCCCAAAAATGTACCCATTATCACAGAAGCCATGCCAAGAACAGATTGTCTAAAACTGGATCCATGTTATGTTTGGATAAAATAGGTCACAGGTCTGCTTTTGGTTTTGCAACAAAGAAACACCAACCAACAAAGTTTTTCAAATTGAAAAAATATATTCCTACTTTTGGCCACCTCCAGTTGATAGTTCCCCATTTAGATTATTAATCTATACCTCGGTACAAGCTCCTTCACGAATCAGTGCTGTGACATGACATTCCAACAAAATTTAACCTGAGTAATAACAATATTTAGAATTTTCTTCAGCAAGTTCTAATTCTGATCTCAGATCAGTTCTATCCATTATGATTTCATGATGCCCATTAGTGATGCAAAAAACACTCAAAAGTTAGCCGGTTAAACTATTTGTTTGACCAGTTAACCACTGGCCATGGGGCGGCTCTGGTTTGGTTTTGCTGTAGCCACAAGTAGTGGGAGCTGCTCTGACCCTGTATTGTCCCACCAGGCTGCTCTGGCTGCAGGCAGCAGGAGCTGCTCCAGTTCCACCTGCAGCTGCTGGGGTCCTGTTGGTCAGGTTGCTGTTGGCAGGGCTCTCCAGTTAACTGGTGATTCAGTAAGCATGGTAGTAAGGTATATACTTACCAGGTAACCATTTTACCTTTACTACAGTATCATCCCTCTTCTCACCAGATTCCTTGAGCAGGACCTGCCTCCTTCTCACACCTCAACTTTGCTTTATATTAGCAAAACCTTGACTACTTTTCCCTAGGCTTCAAATATGAAATCAGGCCTGTGATTCGTAGGCTTATGTTTCAGGTCCTCTTCACAAGTGTCACAGCATTCTTAGTGAAAGATTGTTTACATATCATATTATGAAAAAAATCAATTGGAAGATCAATATTGTACTTACATTCCAGTGTATAGTATATGAAGCAGTATAAACAAGTCATTGTATGAAATTTTAGTTTGTACTGACTTTGCTAGTGCTTTCTATGTTGGCGGTTGTAAAACTAGGCAAATATCTAGAGAAGTTGATGATCCCTCTCCCCCCCCCGGAAAACTTTTGCATACCCCAGGGGTATATGTACCTGAAAGCAAATTGATAGTCAAGTTTAAACAACAGCAGTACAAGTCCAATCTGAATATGAGAGTCATTAATGAATAAATGATGGCAACAATGCTAGCGTGCCCTTTCAACAGCATGCTTATACATTCCTCTGAAGCTGCTTGCGGTCCTCGTAGATTGGTAAGTATAGTAGAGCAGTAAGTGTGTTGGTTCACAGAGACAACTACAATCAACAACATTTTCTAAGTTGTTTCTCAATACTGTCTGTAACTTTGTATTGGTATACATCCACAAAGCTAGTCTCCCATCATTCTCTCTCATTGAAAGCACTCACACTTATATTTGGTATAAGGACATCGTTAAATATATTTAACAAGTAGAATAGTCCTTTAACATATGGAAACAGTGACAAACAAGGCACATCTCAAGTTTTTGACTGCTCTTAGAAAAGTTTCATTATACACCAGTTTTTATTAAGCTAAAGAAACTGTGTGACTTACAGTTTCCCCTTTCACGCAATGCCCTTGAGCACTTGCCCTTTTAGTTACTTGACTTCCTTACAAAAAGACAATATATAGCAATGATGGAGACTCCCATAAGACTATTCTTGTGAGGTAGTCACATTTCATCCTACTATAATAAAATGGCATGACTGTCCCTGACATTAACAGCTGAGTCTGCAGTATTCAAGATCCCGTCTGCTGTGACTGAAAAGGCTCAGATACTACATGAGTTTTAAACACTCATACATCCAATGTCAAACATTTTAAACACTTCAGGAAGTGCTCAGGTTGCAATCTAATATTCCTCAGAGTATTTATACTCCATTGCTCTTGGAAGCTATTCCCATGTTATTGGAGACTTGGCTCATTTATTAAAGGTACAATCTTTGCAATGCACAATAAACACAAGTAGTTATGACTTATATACCCTTTACTGTCTTTACTAAATACAGGCAAGAGCTACACTCTTCATAAAAAAAGAAGTGAGCACAGAGCTGTGCAGAAGTACCAAGTAATTTCTATAAGCAGTTAAGAAGAAAGCAGCTAAGACAATAACAAGTAAGTAGGAATAATGTTGAATACTACTGAGTGACTATAAACAGTAAATTAAAGTTATACTTGATGTCAAAATGAATGTAGGAGATACAGATCCCTGTGATAAACCACACCCAAATAGCTGGAGAAAAAAAAAAAAAGATTACCTTTTGCAATCACTTTCGATGTTGCTTCAGAGAAGCATCAGGATTGCACAGGCCAATTAACATTGCTTATGGTTTATCATCAACAATACAGTTAGCCTTGGAAAAGAAACAAATCCAAGATATCTTTGCCCCAAAGTGCATGTAGTTTAAAATACTGTCAAAAGGGATGAGATGGTTCATTGGGAGACAGAGGAAGAAATCAAAGTCACTCTTATTTGGCTTTTACCTTAAAACTGTAAACCACACTGAAAAACTGTCCTAAAAAATTAAAATTTCCCATTGACTTATATTTGCAATGAGTCCCATCTCTCCACAGCGAATCACTTTGCCCATAACAGAAGTGCAGAATGTTTATTGATCAAGAGCCTCCTACTTGCAGAGCACTGATTTTTACATTATGCAACTCATTTAAAAATGGTAATGATGAACACTTAATAACCACTGTCAGATCAGTGCATTTGACAGTGATATGTTAGTGTACATTTTTTTAAAAAAGATAAACCAAAAACTTAAGGCACAAGCCAAATGAGAGTGGCTAATATACAACAGAGAAGAATATATAAGAGTGAAATTGTTTTAAATAGCGTGCAATATGGTAAAACAAAGACATGAACATATTTCAAAATTACTTTCAGAAAATAATTTGACAGTATCCATTATAGAGCATCTCTGTGTTAAAAAAAAAGAATTCTTGTTTAATATGTGAAAGGACAAGCGAATATATTTTGCTGTTCAAGAACAAACTAAAACAAACAACTGCCATATACAGAAATTAGCTCTGGTCAATACAACAAGGTAGAACTACTTTTTAGAGTTGTGGAATTCCACATAAATAATTTGTGGTATTTAATTTTAATGTGCTCAAGTCTGAGAAGAAAACAAGACACATTAGACATAACAGAACCTTACTGAAACTTCAAATGCTTATATCAGATTTAATGAATACTGTACACAGCAATATGCAATACCTCAGTTGTAAATTCTACACTTTGTACTTTTGCTCATTTACACATTTGTTTATTAATAGAGGAAACTGGTGATGGCATGTGCTTTACTTTGTTCAAGCTCTACATTTCTTTGGATCTTCAAATGAAACAAGACAATGCTATTTTCCAAAAGTTTCTCCAGGTTCATAGACAAAGTTTAACACATCTCTCTGTGGCAAATTTACACAATACAGCTACCACAGTATTTTATTTGAGCAACAAAGTGTTGTCCAAGACTTACGGCAGATGAATCTTCACTGTTGTTTACCAGACAGCTGCCAAATGAGCTCCTGAAATTAGTTTATACTAAAAAACAAACCATAAAAATGATCACACTGAACAGGTCTAATTTGCTTCTTGCCAACTGAAACTATATGCCACATATACATCTACACATATTCCAGTTCACTTCCCAGTTTGAAAGCGGTAACAGTTGAGTGAGGACTGAATCTGGATACAGACCCACTCACATCTATATCACCTGTTCAAAACCAGCCAAGGTCAAAAGAAGCTGCTATCATCCAAATGCTCTTTGGGAGTCTACTGATGATTGCAGCCTTGCTCTTGGTTGACACTTGCCCACATCCCAAAAAAACTCTACTATAATTGGCTCCCATCTGGTTAGTCCTCACAGAAAGGGATGGAGAATGGCCTCCTAGGTCTGAAAGGGGACCTTCTGCCTCCAGGGCTCTCTTTCTGGCCCCCTTCAGGACTACCAAAATGGCTATTGAAAAATTAAATTACAACTGAGAGCTTCAATTCAAGACACCAGAAGAGTAACTTTTTTTTAAGCAGAAACACTCACAATCTTGTCAGAGAAGTAGGATATTCACGATAGTCAGGTCTGCTCTGACTGTTTGTTTTTTTTTAAATATGTTTAAAGTGCCCAACACAGACTCAAAGCAGAGTTCCTGGCTCCTAACAGTTTTTTCAGAGACTGTAGACCATGCTTTGCTTAAGAAAAAACAAACCAATCAATGATAGTGAGTAGTTCTATCCACTTGCAACAGGCAATGCTGGAAGGTACTTTTAGATTCATTAAGCCTTTGATATTTGCTGCTTTTAAAAAAATAACATAGAATGGGGGTGGGTAGAAAGAATAATAAAATATCAAAGGCCCATATACATACACTAACATATACACTGTCCATATACCAAACAAGGACAATGCTGAACACATTAACTATTAGCTTTCATCATAAGCTTCGGGAAAATAAATCTGCTCTGAATGTATCAAATACAATATTTAAAAGGAAAATAAATATTAGCTTCCATAACAAAATAAGTTCTGCATTTGCCATCAGTTTATAAAAAGCATTTTCAAGGTAAAAATATTAATCTTTACCGCTTTTGTACAAAATGGTGCTATGTGTAGCCACCTAAACAATTAAATTCCACTGGTGAATTAGATTGTTCTCAGAGGTTTCATCTAATTCAGGTCTCATTTCTATCCCTTGCACTGCATACACTTTTCATTTCTGCCCACTTCCACGGTATTCTAGTCGCTGTCCGAGTTATCTTCACCAGCTTCCTTTTCATGCAGCTCACATTTGGAAGAGTCATTGGCTTCGCCCAGGGGACTGGCCCCTTTCCGTGGTGGCAAGACACTGAAAAATGCTTCCTTCCAGTCTCTCTTCTCCAGGTAAGAAAGGATTATCTCAAACACTGCAACCAAGAGAGACCATCATACCTTCAATAGTGAAATAACTGAATTTATGACAGGAGTAGAGGCTAGATCTTAAAGAAAACACATTTAAAACTGTAAACCAACTTTTGAAAGGATCTTACCTCTTCTTTCAACACAAAATAAACCAACCCCTCTGGATTAAACAGAAAACGCAGTATGGCTGCAGCAGTTAGTTCTTGTATGAACTTGCTTGCTGCCCCCAAAGAAGTATGCTTTGAAAATTTAGAGAATCATGGAAATACGCCCAACCCAGGCAAAAAAATATACTTGCTTCCTTTTACCAGGCTAAAGAATGTTGAAAAGATAATTACCCAAAAACATCCATCATCTTTTTCTCTGCCCACTGCACTCTAGACACTAGAAAAATGGGAACACCACAGCATTGCCACACTAATTTAGTAATTTCTGTTTTAAAATAAAAAGATACAAGATAATATAGGTCCTAAATGTGATCTGTTTTGTCACAGTATTTTGTAATTAATTTAGGCTTGATCGGCTTAGTGCTTTACAAACAGTAAATCCTCACAGTGATCATTCAAATCAGGTAAGCAAACATCTACATTTTATATATGGAGAAACGGAAGAAAGTTGCTTAACTTATCTGCCTAATGCTGAAGAGGGGCCCAGTAGCCAAGCCAACAAATCCTAGCTCAGTCTTGTATCGAGACCACTCTCCCAATCAGCAGCCAGAATTCAGAGGTGGCAAGAAATTTAAAACATTTTCCAATATTATAAAGTACTAGCCATAGGATGGATGTTGGGTTTAACTGAAGGAAACAGTTACTTACCCATATAATTTTGGCTATGCCTGGTATGGGATTTTAGATATGCCATCTGAGATCCCAAGAGATAATAATCTCTCTATACATTAAAAAAAAGTTTTTCCTGAGGGACGACAGAGTGACATCATTACGTCACACTGTGTCCCACCTGCCTCCCTCCCTCCCCCCCAATCCCAGCCCAAGCCCAACCTTGGGATTGCTATTTTAAGCCAAACCCTTCCTCTACTCCCACCCCAAAGGGCTTTCAACACCAAGAAACATGGCACAGTAGCCAGCAGACCCCACATTGCAGCTGTGACAGCCCAGGGGCAGGAGGAACACCTCCAAGTGCTTGGGGAGCTGGAGTGCAGTGCCTGACTGCCCTAAGTCTGGCTGCCCCCACAGAGACTTACTGCAGCTGCCAGAGTGCCCACAAGACGCTCGGGGGAGCTGCCACACCAACCTGTCTGCTCCCTTCCAGAGAGGCCCTGGGCTCTGCAGGCAGGGCTGGGACAGTGAGCAGTGCAGGTGGGACTGCATGGGGGAAAAGTCAGGACAGTGGCCCCCCACACGGCTGCTTTCCTCAGCAGGTTGCAGTGCCACGTACACAAAGTACTACCTGGGCCTCACACAGAGATGGAAGGTACCCCTGCATCTCCCTGGCTGCCGGGGCTAGATCCAGGCTTGGCGCACGCTGTGGCGCACACGCGCATGTGTGTGTGTGTGTGTGAGAGAGAGTGAGAGAGAGAGTTGTGGGGGGGGAGGGGCGCCAGGGGTTAGGGCTGGGAAAGAGAAAGGGCTTGGGCTGGTGGGAGGGGAAGGAAGGGAGAAGAGGGCCAGGGATGGCAGGAGGGGGAAAAGGGAGGAAGAAGGGACCTGGGGTGGCACAGCTGCAGCCCTCCCCGGTGGTCCATGGGGGAGAGCCAGGGTTGCCTACTCCTAACGAGAGGGGGGTTGGTGAGTGCAGCGAGCAGAGAGTACAACCCCCTAGCTTTTTTAAAATCCTAAACCAAGTAAGTGTAATTTCAGATGTTTAAGACATAGAATTGGGCATGGAAAGCTAGAATACCCTAAATACTCCATGAGATCTACTTATACCCCAATGTTCTTGCCCATCTTGCACCACCATGTGGTACTATTTAATTAAAACGCTTGGGAGAATGACAACCAAACTAAAATGTTTATATTATGGATTATCCATCCCCATGTCCTTCTGAGACAGTAACAAGAGTGCCCATATAGTATGATCATCTTATCTGTAGGCTCCTGGTACTGTACATTTCCTATTTCAAATTCTGTACTTGTTGTGGTACATAATTCCCAAAAGCAGCAGAGTCAGAACCAAAAAGGTGTTTCACTGTGCCAACACACACAGCAAAATAAATGCAATTATATATTTATAGTAAAGTTACATGAAAATATCCCTTACATTATATATACAGATATATAATAGGGGTGGCCCAATTCTGTTATCCTTATTCATGTCAATTTGTGTTTTGCATGCAAGTACTGAAATTGGGCCATATAATATTATGATTGCAATAGGTGCAAGGGACTGAGCTAGAAAATTTAAAATGTAGGGTACCATTTATTATTGTGTCTTTTATGCCTAAAATCCTCAGCAAGCAGAACGCATTAAAGTAGGATTTTAATATCAGTACCTTACACCTTATTGCCTTTTAATTATTGATATCAAAATGCTTTACAATGGCAGTTAAACATAAAAAATCCCATTATACAGATAGTTACAAAGAGTTAAAGAGAGTTGCCCAAGAACACATAGTGAATCAGCAGATGAGTCAGGAATGGAGCTGTGATCTGACTTCCAGCCTAGAAGATAACTTCCAAAAATTATACTATTGGTCAGTATACGACCATAGCAAGAGAGCTATTAAGATGGCCCCAGGTAATATTTTGCAGTTTTAAATGGATAATGTGAGAAACTCTGTTCTCTACCTTGTGATACAATATTTAAAACTATAGCTGTGTGGATGCGTGAAATGTTTGCAATATATGGGTTTTGTTAATACAGGTTGGACCTTCCTGGTCTGGCACCATCAGGACCTGTCTGGTCCCGGATAAGGGATTTTACCAGGCCAGGGGAGGTCATATCTGGCTCCCCTGCTACCAGCTCCCCCTCAGTCCTGGACCAGCCACCAGACGCCTGCTGGGCTCCCCCTTGCCACCAGCCTTGCTGCCTAGCTAGTCCCCCCACCTCCTTCCCTGCTATGCTGGGCAGTCCTGCTACAGAGTCCTAGGCTCCTGGCCCGCCAGGAAGCCCTGCTGCATTGTGCCTGGCTGCCCAGTTGCGGTGTGCCAGGCAGCCCAGCAGTGGGGAGACCAGTTGCCAGCCCTCCACCAGGACTCTCTGGTCCTGGAACACTCATGGTCCTGCCGGACAAGGGATGTTATCAGACCAGGGAGTCCTGGATTAAAGAGATTCAACCTGTATAGTACTTAAGCTTTATCATTAACTAGTGCCTTTGGAGTCAAAGCTGATTCTCTGCTAAATTTTTGATGTGCATCTACTATTCTGAGACTTGATCAGCATGCTACTGCATACATCAATATTTGATAATATCTAAGAGAATAAGTATTTTTAGCAGCAAGGAGACGGTCACAACAATGTAACAATAAAACCAAACTTGGACATTTTCAATAAAGATAAGGTAAAATAAATTAAAATGGAGTAAAATACACATAAAATAGTAAAAACCATTTTTTAAAAAAAGTTGAGCATTAGATTTAAATATAAGCATATGTAATATGGCTAACTAACCAATGAAAGGTCCCAAGTGTCAAAATTGAAAGACAAAGAGCTTTAAAAAAATATGCAGAAGGTGGTTGCATACCTTCAACCTATCAAAAAAAATTAAGTACGTACATTCTAGGTTCTTGCTAAAAACCAGTGCAAGTGAACTGGGGAGAGAAAACAGAACATGGTTACTAGTTGCACAGTTTATTCAACTTGCTATCTACCACATAATTAATGCACAACAAACTGTGCAACAGGATCAGTTTTTCATCTCTTGCATTTATATTTTAAAAGTGAATAAAAATTTGTGGGTAAATTCCAACATTCTGTTCCTTTGAGCATTTTCAAGAAGAAAATTTAACCCCATGTGGGTAGGATTTTCAAAAGAACCACGAGACAGCACAATGAGACTTCAGTTCTTAAGTCACGCTGGTACACTTGGGAAAAAAAATTGTTTATATTAAACCATATCCCTACCTCCACCCCAAAACCAGCTAGCCACAAAAGACCCTAAAACATAACAAAATAATTCAATCTTTATGCTCTAATGTACTTTATTGCTAACACATTCTGCAACAATTTCATTATGAAAATTCATGACTTACCGTGATTAACTGCCAATACTTTCCGGCTATTCATTTTCACAAAATTTCCAAGAGGAAGTTGCGCATGACCAATTCCCTGTTCTACTGCTTTTTTATAAGTAAGCCCCTGCAGCAAAGACACCCCGGCCCCCGCAAAAAAAAAAAGTTAACTAAGAATCATAATTTCTGATCAGACTGTACAATACAACAAGCTTTCTTCTACTAATTGGAAAAATAAAAGGAATAACTAATGTTTTCAGACAAGGGTTGTGCAAGCAGTATCATATTGTTGCAACTCATGACAAAGTGTGAAGTACAGTCTGTTTTAAGATAGTGTTTGCGTTGAACACGGCAAGAATTAATATTAATTATTCATACTTGAATCTTTTTTAACAAACAGTTGGACGACACAAGTTACCTGAGCTGTTTGTTTATTTTTATTTAAGAGAAGCTACACAGTAGTGCTTTTTTTTAATTCCAAGATTACTTTAAAGTTTATGATAAAAGTGAGAAATTGGTACTGCAGTTACTAAATTCTACAGGCAAAGAGATCCCCCCCCATTTAGATCTCAGTCTTTGACAATGGTTCCACCTGCATTACTGTGAATTTATCCCAGATTTTATTAATGGCACATGAACAACTATTGAACTAATTCCCTTTGACCTGTTCAATGTGCTATCCAAAGACAAGAATTAATAGTGCTCTAACCCTTTCAGCAGCAGTGTCACTGACACACCAATTGTAAGGCATATAACTCCAAGTCCAGGCATGGAACTCAAACCCAGAGGCAATAGTGTTACATGATTAGGTCAATATGATAAACCAAGTTATTAGAGATGGATGTCCAAGATTCACTGCATGTATAATCATGACAATTCTGTTCAAGTACACAACTGCATACACACAGACCAGATATTACTTTCAGAAAATCTGTTCTTCAGTGGGTATAAACATAAAATTAAATCTATACTGATCCATGCTTATGGATTTACCTGGCATTGGTTCAGATCCTTGCAAGAGTGCAGGGTAGCAGGTGGGGGGGCGGGGGGAGTGCAGGAATCTGGGCAGGGGGCTGGGAGATAGGGATGTAAAAGTGTAACCATTTAAAATGGTTAACTGATAAGCATGAGCTCATAGGTTTCCATTATGGTTACACACTGGCTCCCTGGAAAGCTGGCTTCACTGCGGATCTGTACTATCCGGCTTCCGGGGAGCTGGACATCACCCCACACTGTGGCTCTGCAGTATATAAGTTATATCACAGAGCCCTCAGCACATGTAACTGCTAAGATTTTTAGCAGTTATAGTTAAATTTTTACATGATTTTAAACATCTCTACTGGAAGGTGGGGGGGGGGAAGAGGGGGTTGGGTGTGTGGGAGTCAAAGCAGGGAGTTGGGAGGATTTGGAGTCTCCAACTAGGAGAGTGGAGGAGTCGGAGCAAGGTGGTCAGTGCAAGAGGAGTCAGGGGGTTGGGTGTGTGGGAGTCAAAGCAGGGAGTTGGGAGGATTTGGAGTCTCCAACTAGGAGAGTGGAGGAGTCGGAGCAAGGTGGTCAGTGCAAGAGGCTGGGAGATTTGGGGGAGCGCCTCAGTGCCACCCATGGAGGCTGGGGCGGGTGGGGGGGGGTGGCAGTTCCTTGGGGCAGCCACCCTAGCCATCTGGCAGTGGATGTTACCCACACCTTGTCCGGTGCAGGGGCAAAGGGTCAGGTTGGGGTTTAGGTTCCAGCTGTGGGGCATGGGGTCCAGCATGGTAGTGGGGGCAACCATGGTCAGCACCAGCACAGGAACCTTACCTGTGGCTGGCAACATTCAGAGCCCCTTCCTAAGGCAGCCACTGTTTTACAGTTGCGGCCACCACCCCGTGGTCATTCTGCAGTATAACTGTGGCTGCTAACAGACCTGTCCCTTATGAGAAACATTCAGATTCCAGGCTCATACTGTTTTCCTGACAACCAAACCCTGACCTTGCTTTAAAGGTAGGATAAGAAGACGCTGCATAGCAAGTTTGGCAGTTGTATCTCTGACCATTTAGGAGGAGTTTTTGAACAAGCTGACTCACAGACAGACAGTTGCACAAACTCTCAAATATATAGTAGATCAAAGGTAAAATCAAAATACATATTTTAAAAAGAAAATCAGCAAAAACTCACTATGTGCCACCACCTTCAACACACGTTTTTGGTTTTTAAGAGGTTTACTGTATGAAGACAATCAATAAGTATCTGTTTTTGCTGATTTCCATGTGTTTAGTAATAATACTGAATCAGATGCTGAAAGAGCAGCATTAAAAAATGCAGTATTTTTTACCTTGTGGTGATTGTGATCCACCAGACCTCCAATTATATAGGCTTTAGTCTCATCTAGTTCATTAAGCACATCAGGGGAATCTGATGTAAGATACACAAGGTCTTCCTTCTTCATAAGCTCATTATAATGCTCTGATGAAATACGTATATCCTTTGAGATAAAGAAGTTCAGAGGTTACACATACTATTGAATAACTTGGCCAAGCTAATCACCAGCAGAAGTAACAATGGAGTAGCGTGTCCATACTGGGCATGCCAAGTCAAGTACAATTTTGTCCCACATGCTTTCTAAGTATCTATGCTACAGCTTTTAAAAAGCAGTAACCAGGACTTGTGTGATGGAACTGCTCTGTAATTTATGACTACAGTTTGTGACCAAGTTATTGTATGAACATATTTATTTAATAAGTGCGGTAAGAAAAATCAAGCAAGAAAAACAATGGCTAAAGACATTCCAATTCTCTGCTAATACTTAAGAGTTAAGAAAGAAGGACAGGACAGGACGAGACCATGCACAGAACTATTACAGGGATTAAAAAGAATCACCCTCAAGACAGGGAGTAATTGTATGGGTAAACCAAACCCAACAGATTAGACAGACACTCAATGAGGGTATCTGAAGAAGTTAGGCCCACCTAGATTACCATCAGGGAATGGTAAGCCTATAGGTAAGGCAGATATACATATGTTAATTTAGAATCACTTTATAGCCCTGCATTATGAGCGCTAGCCATCTGACATAGATGAGCTGCAGGCATTTTAATGCACAGTACCCAAAGAGATTTGCTCAAGATCACAATATTTCACAGAGTTGAGTAAAGAACTCTGAACTCCTCCTAGATAATGCTTCCTTAGGCAAACAATTAAAATAATGTGGGAATGTTATTAAAGAAAAAGAGTTACAAAGATACTGAATGTGCCACTCTTGACAGCATTGGCGTCAGTTTCTGGAGCCAGGCAAGATAGTATGGATTGGTTCACTAGCGTTTCATCTCTAGAAACCCAGAATCTAGACTAGATTAAAGCATAATAGATGTATATAGCTTCACAATTAGTCAATATGATCTGAGATAAAAGACCATGAATGGTAAGAATCAAGAAGTTGGAGCATTACATGTCAGAATAGAGATGCAACAGCAATATTAACTGAAAAAATATCTTCATATAACAAAGCTGGTTTCAAGCCAGGGCAGTTACTCTTGTGAATGCTAAATTCACTCAAAACTCAAATAATGATGAGCTAAATACACATGACTTTAATATCTTGATAAAATATAATATTTGGAAAAAGATACAAGCCAAAGAACTGTAGAACTCTCTAAATGAATATTAAGATAATATTTTTCCTGGGAAATTTCCAAGTCACGGAATCACTTAACTAGTTGTCATTACCTTCCAGTTGACCCATCCTTTGTCATTTTCATTCATGTTGTCCTTCAGCTGGCCTCCATGGCTGGTCAAATAAAACTTAGAGGGAGACAAAGGGGGAAAAAGTAAATAGTATCTAAATTCAAGATACTGATTTGTCTCCACATATGCTTTATTGCACAAGCTTTTTGTCTGAAGTGTTATCTAAAACTCATTTTCATTATTTAACAAAGCAATTCGACATCAAGAATATTTTTGAATAGTGAAAGGTTTAAAAGGACAAAGCATTTTCTGTTTTATGTGCTGCAGAAAGAAAAGTGGACATCTAAAGGTTATTTTGGACTGGCAGCCTTTACATCATTGGTGGGCAACCTGTGGCCCATCAGGGTTTTAAGCGTGGCCTGCGAAGTATTTTGTTTACCACTGCCCATGCAGAGGATTGCCAGATTCCACTGGTTTCTTTCAGTTTTTTTCCTCAATATTAAAGTGACACCCATGTCAAGCAAGATCATGTGAAGTAAAGTGCATGCTAATGGCACACAACATTTACTGTTGGAGCTATGTGTTCCCTCTGTAGCCAATCAAATGCTGCTATGGCTCAATTGGCACGTCCCACAAATACTAGGTACGCAAGTGCAGTTAGCAAAACTATCCTATTGTGGGAGACTATCTTGGTGGCCTATTGAGATGAAGGATGGCCACTCATGTGGCCCCCTCACTAGCCTAGGTTGCCCATTACCGCCTTATATTAACATTTGCACACCTTTTATCTAGGTTAGGTTTTTTAACAGTGTTTTCTATCAGGAAGATACAGGAATGACAGAAATATGATCAAACCAAGATATTTCTTTTTACTTAAATTATACATCACTAATCAGGGTCAGTGCTTAACAAATATGGACAGTTTGTTGCAATATACCTGTACAGGATGTAAGGCTTTACGGTTTTCTGCGTAACATCTCTGAATTTGCTTGTGGAGCTTCTTGACATCCTGTATACAACACAATTTGTTTTTATACAGTCCTTCAGACAGATCATCACAAAATGCTTTACCAAGAGTCAGTCAGATGCTAGAGAGGAAAAAAAGGAACCTTTTAACCAGCAAAATAGATTCTTGAATGGAAAGTATCAGACCCTTCGAGAGAAAAGGAGAATGAGCAGCTGTGAGGGAATTACGTGCATACACAAACATAAGCATCTTCCATAAATTACATATTTAACCGCTGTTAGAACAATGTAAATAGTCACAATTTGGCTGTGTCTACACTGGCATGAATTTCCGGAAATGCTCAAAATGGAATACTATTCCGTTTTCAGTTTTTCCGGAAAAGGAGCGTCTATATTGGCAGGCTGCTTTTCCGGAAAAGCATCTGTGGCCAATGTAGACGCGCTTTTCCGGAAAAGAGCCTCGATCGCCATTTTCACGATCGGGGCTTTTTTCCGGAAAAGACTACTGGACTGTCTACACTGGCCCTTTTCCAGAACAGTGTTCCGGAATAAGGACTTATGCCCAAGCGGGAGCAGAATAGTTTTTCCGGAAATTCAAGGGCCAGTGTAGACAGCTCACAGCTTATTCCGGAAAAGCGGCTGATTTTCCGGAATAAGTGGCCCAGTGTAGACCCAGCCTTTGTGTATGTGATTGTAAGTCAGTTACTGACTAAATACACAATCTATAACTCAGTATGTGAAACTACTTCCAGGAATAGCATACACTTCACCACCATGCATCTTTTGTTTATAAAAATACACACACACACACACAGTTAACCCCTGTACGCGATTACACTTTCATATCCCTAGTTTAGACTATCCAGCCAAGGACAAATGAAAAACAAAAACAAACCCACAATGGCCTCCCTCTTAACCAACTGGACCATGAAACAAAGTCTCCAGACCCTCCACCTGTAATCCCTCACTGTCCCTAAATCACTTATCCATGAGTCTTTGAAGCAATCAATACAAGGGCTCAATCACAACACGTCTTCCACTCTTCTCTTGTCCTAGCCTTCCTTCTTTCATGTGCAGTCATGGCTTGTCAGGATAAAAATCTTCCCATTTCTTTGGAGGCCAGCCAAGTGGTGGTTCTAGTGCCTGTGGCTACCACTGTGACAGCTGCAGTCCATCGTTAGTGAGCCTTGCAATTTGTCCACCTATTCCATTTTACTATACCTGCTCTGAACAGCCACCTCCTACTTTGCTGTCTGAATACTTCACTAGGGACTCAGTCGCAGATTAAAATTCCCAGAATTCTTCTTTCCATTACTCTGGCTTTGTGAACACTGCAGGGCTTTTGTGCAAGAAGCCTTTTGCGGAAGATTTCTTGCGCAAAAACTTCTTGCACAAAAGTGCGTCCAGGCCTCAAAGTGCATCACTAAAGCAATGTGTTTTTGCACAAGAGAGCGTCCACACTTCATGAACGCTCTTGCACAAGAAAGCTCTGATGGCCAATCACAGAATGGCCATCAAAGCACCTGTGCTTTTTCCGATGAGGGGTTTTTGCACAAGAAACCCCTGAGTGTCTTTTTGCGCAAGAGGTGTAGCGCAAAAAGGAGTTATTCCTCATGGGGAGAGGACTAACTTTACCGGCAAAAGTCCTCTGTTCTTTCGATTTACTGTCAAAAGAATGCACTTGAGGTGTGGACGCTCCACTGTTTTTTGCGCAAAAACCTTGTAGTGTAGACATAGCCTCTCAGTGGCAGACAGCTGCTGCTCCTCTGTTTTCGCCAGAACCTATGTTTTCCTGCCGCACAATATTGATGACTGTATAGTTGAGTTGAAGAGACTGCCTGCATGTTGCCTTGTTAATTTTTCCTTTGTGGATATCCATGATAGAATTAAATGCACACCAATCTGCTTTCTTTCTGTGTGAGTGTTCACTGTTCTGTTCATGGTACATGTTAATTTCTTGGAAAAAAGTGCTCAACTGCTTCTATTTGTTCTCCCTTGAGTGTTATTTGGGCTTTTGGCAAGGCATAAGACTACATACATTTCATTTTGGAGTGATTTTCAATCCAGTGTGGCTTTATATTTTGACTTCTCACAGCATTTTCAATATTTTGATGGTATTTTGGTGATTCACTCAATATTGTCCTTGAATCTGATTTAACTGCTCTCTGTTCAGATTCCACCCTTTCAAGTCATCTGTCTCAATACCATTTTGAGGTAATCTGTGAAGAGTTTCAGTGAAACCATGTTTCCTTGTTTCACACCTTTCTTAACTGAAATGCAGTGGGTGGTATCAAATAAAGTTATATCTGTAGTGCAGTCAGAATTTGGTTCCTTTAATAATTTGATATAATTTGTGTTGATGCTCTACTCTTTAAGAGCTTCCAATGCTGCACTGACCTCTAAACTGCTTTTTTACAGATAATGAAGGCAATACAAAATTTCTTTGAGCATTCCAATACTAGATTTGGAACAAAAATATGGTTCATTGTGCTGAAATTCCTTCAAAAACCTGCTGCTATTTCAGCTACTGCTCATCTAGACTCTGTGAGAGTTGATCTGTTATGTTGGTGAACATCTTGTAGACATGTGAGAGCAGGCATATTGGACAACAGTTCTTAAGATCTTCACGATCGCCCCTCTTGTATAGCAGAATGTTGTTGGACTCCTTCCCAGCTGGATGGTATCTTCTGCATTTTCAAGTAACTGCTGTACCTCTGAACAAGGCTTTCCTAGAGATCTTGGCTCCAGGTCTCGTTTTGATTGTCAGTCCATCTTTACCTGGGGCTTTTCCTTCCTTCATTTGGTGAACTGAATGTCACTGATAAGGACTGGAAGGATGAGCGTGTTTATCTATTAAAGTGTTGGTATTGGGACATTTGAGATGTGAACAGCCTTTGTGGTCTGTACTTGTACAAAGCCTATCATCATAGGATCCTGGTCCATGATGAGAGCTTCCAAGTGCTAGAATAATACAAATGAAAACATAGATGATGGTGGAAAGGCTTGCACCAAAAAGAAAAAGGGCAAACTCTTCTAGCTTGACATAGATGGAAAAAAAAATGCTTTTGCTGCTAGTCATACAAGTACAGTAAAACTAAGATGTATCTGGCTCACAAATAGTGCAAACACTTCCTTGGAGTACTGTTACAATCCCCTAACCATCAAAATCACTCTTTATTAACCAAAAGCTGGCTCAACTTCATCCAGCCTGAGATTTTATAAAAACTATAAAAGCTCTGGTGTGACTGAAACAATACTGAGTACCACCGTAATACTGAACATGCTGTATCCCATGTACTCTAACTCTGCTATGGCCTCAACATACCTGGAACAGAAGAGAGGCTGCAGGAGAAGAAAGAAGTTTTGAGCATAAAAAATTCTCAAAACTTAGTGACCGATACCAGGAACAAGGTTCCATTTTCTATTCTGGGATTAAGTCAATTAACAAGAACAAATCTCCAAGAAGATAACTGCTATTTCTGGCAAGTTTATATGGAGGTAAGATTTTGAAATTTGACAAATTTAAGAATCTAGTATACAAGCTCTCCCTCATGCACCAAGACAGATTATTTCATTTTCATCTATTCTTACTTCAAAAAAGAATCTGCTTCTAACAACATAGTTTCATTTACCTTTAATACCATCAAGTTGTCAAAACTGCAGTCTATAATAAGACGAAGGGTACTAGGAACAACATCCATACGCATACGCTTCCTGGCGCTCCCTTCGTTGTTAGATTCCAATTGATACTGACGCTCCAGTTTTCTTTTCTGGCGTTTCTCTTTTCGTTTCTGCCTAATAGATTATAAAATTAAAAATTAGCATTGCCAGCCATATGCAAATTGTTAGAATGATGTTCCATATGTTAGGAAATAAACATACTTTATTGAAAAGTTCAAATAAGAGTGAGAGAATGCTCCAGTTTCTTGGGGAATAGCATAGCAATGAAGACAAATTCAGGAGCAACCCAAGGCTCATTGTCTGTCTGTTGAATAGCGATAAAACCTATAGCATCCTGTATCATCCATGAGGCAACCATCTCTACTTTCTGGTTCTGGCCTCAGTCTTTAGGCTACAGAGGCTGCTACTGATATGGGGGCAGTACATTCAGACAATTCAGAAACTAGAAATAATGCATCTCATTGCTCAGAAATAACCATTTTGTCAATTAGGGGCTAAGTATTTGCAGGACTGCCATTCTGACATCCTCCACTTGCTGAGAAACAGTTGCACAGATCACTGACAAGGACATTCATCTAAAATAAGTTCTCCTTGGTGCTCTGACACTGAAGCCCAGAATGTGTCTCTCATTCCACATTTTAAACAACACTAATTATTTTTTGCTATGCAAAAAGTTTCTGTTCACATACATAATGACTAAAATTAAATATTGGATTGGAATCAGCAACATAGGAGACTCAACTCACACCTGCGTAAATCTCTTTGCTCTTCCCATTGTTTCTGTTTCATTAGTTTCTTCATTTGCCTTTTTGACATAACTCCAACACTCTCTGCTTTATCTGATGCAGGCTCCCCTTTCTTGACTTGACTGTCATTTGAGTTAATCTTTTCTTCCACCCCAGGAACCTCTGCGGATAATGGGTTTTCTGTTGGCATTTCTGATGACATTTGCTTTCCAATGGCTTCACAGAATCTTGTCTAAATAAGTTTGAATCTGTAGAATGGGTATTTCATAAAAAGCAAGGCTTTTTTTACCCTGCCTGAAGGCTGCTTCTGCAAGAAACATAAGACAGACTAATACAGAAATGCCACAATACTCATTCAGACAAGTATTACTTTAAACCTGTTTGACTATTCTTGGGGTTTTAGACAGCCTTTTACCCCATTCTAAGCCTTCGTCTGTGTCTCTATGGCAACTGTACTAGAGCAAATAGTAACAAATATAATGGGAATATTCAATACTTGTTCAAAATATAGCAAAAAGACCTTTTATCATACATGCAGGAGGCCCCACTGGTAAACTGATAATGCTAATTAAGAAGAAGGGATTGGAATGTGTGTGGGAGGGACAGAAGTGAGAGAGGAGCTGCAGGGCATGGGCTCTGGGGAAGAGGGGGGAATTTGGATCTGGGAAGGCGTTGAGGCACAGGAAGGGCAAGGGGTGCTACATGACAATGGTAAAATGCTCACTTCTAGAGGCCTCCACAAGCAGATCCCTTGTTCCTACTGTTCCTGGCACAGGTTTGGCCAATGGTTCTGCTGCAGCTCCCACTGTTGGCCTTTCCCAGTCAATGGGCAGAGAGGCACAAAGTCAGCAGGTGGGAATTAGGTATGGTGGAAGCATGCACATTGAACCAACCACTTAGGCCATGCCTCTGCCAGCGACAGTAGGAATAGGGAGCCATGTGCAGAAGCCACCAAAATATCCCCCCCTCCATAAGGCATCCTGAGCTCCTCCCACCGCTCTAAGCCTCCTCCTGTACACAAACTCCTTCCCAGAGTGTGCCTTGCAACCCCTCCCATATCTCTTTCTCCTCTTGCTCCGCACCACATTACAGACTTTTGGTGCAGATGAGAAATGCCAGTTCACTGACCTTGCCAACTGGGGGAGTACTGGATAAAAGGACTTTTACTGTGAGCCTCAAATCCACGGGCAGGAGGGAAAAAAAATATCAGGAGAACAGCATCCTGAAAACGTAGCTCCGATGTTTGGTTGCTGTTAAATACAGCTCGTTGCTGTTTGGGCAGCGTATTTACTGCGGGTTCCCCCAAAATGAGGAAACCCCGACGCCTGCTTCTGGAAAATGCATTGTCATAAGGCTCACTAGACAGCGCTCCTGTGGCGGGGGGCCAGCGCCCCCAGCTGTTCTGGATTCAAGCCTACACAGCCCCGAGCCCCGGTGCCGACGCAGCAAAGCCCCGGGGCGAGGGAGCGCGCCAGGACAGGCGCTGCCGAGCTCCGCAACTCCACTGCTGACAGTCGCTGTTCGCCCCCTCTCTGCTCTCACACCCCGGCCGCGGGCGTAGGCAGATCCCGGGGCTGACGTGCGATGTCGGGGAAACCCGTCCCCCCCATGCTCTCCGGGATGCCCATGGCGCTGACGCCGCGCACTCGCTGCCACAGCCCAGGACACCGGGGCGCCCTGCTCCCCGGGCGGCTCTCAAAGTGGCCAGGGCCACGGCACTTACCGGCGCGCGGCTGCAGAGGGGCTAACGGCCGCCAAGATACCAACCCTTCCACTGCAGCGCGGCGCCTCAGGCAATGCGATAACCGGAACCGTGTCGCTCGCCTGACGTCATCGCCCCGCGCCACCGCCCTTTCGTCTTCTGCGGACGGGGCAGGAGCTGCGGCGGCTCAGGACGCGCTGGCGTGGAATATGTCGCCAGAGGGGCACGTGCGCGCACCCAGAGCAACGGCCTGGCACGCGGTCCTGGGCTGGGGAGCTGCACAGACCTGGCCGCCGTAGAGGGACTCTCCCCCCGAGCCGCTTTGTCACGGACACCTGTGGCGCAGGGGCCTGTGACGTGGCTGACCCTTGCGCAGAGCCGTTAACAGCGCACGCGGGTAACCTAGCGCGGCTGCTTACTTGAGAGATTGGGCTACTTCCTGCTAGTTTCTGAGCACGCGCAGACGCACTGCGCATGCTCAGCAGTTTTCTTGCAGCCATTGCCCTTCATCTGCTTTCCGGCTAGGATTAAGTTGTTTAACAAATGTGTTGCAATGGTAGAAAAAAATGGTGTGTCTGAAAACTGTAGGTATTGGGGGTACTTCTAATTTTTTTTAAAAGGGGGGGACTTATACTTTTTTAAGTAAAGGGGTACTTTACAAAAAAGGTTGAGAAAACACTGATTTAGAGTAATCCTTTGTAAACAATTGTTGGTGGACTCCTACATTGTTTTTAAATCCGTATTTCCAAAATGATGTTCGATGGAAGACTGGAGTTCAGCAAAGATGAAAGTGATACTTCCAGTAGGAGTTTCTTATAGTAACAATTTCTTATTTCTGCAAATCAGAAACTGCCTCCCAGGAGCACAATCCTACAGGGAGCTGCTGTTTTTGACACAGAAATGTTCAGAACTGCTGCATGTAGAATTGTGCTGCCGCTAGCAGCTGTTTCATACAGTAGCACTTCTTTAGGATTGTACCAATAAGAAAGTGCTACCTGTAGCACATTCCTATAAGGTAGGAGCTTTTGACATTATCTCGGCATAGGTTGGAAGCCCAACCGTTCCAAGCAGCCCCCAAGAAGGAAGAAACAAACCGTTGTGCTAAGAGAGTCAGCACAAGTTTTGTGGTTCATAGGTGCCTGGCTCCCCCTAACGTACAACAAAGTCTTGTGCCATGGCAAGCGCAAATGTGAACGCCGCTTTGAGCTCCTGCAGCCAAAGCGAAAGCCCCTCGTTGGGAGGGTAGAAGCATTTTGTCTGCAAAAAGGCCAACAAACAGCATTCACTCAGGCTGACTTTTAGACAGGCGGGTATTGCTGCAGCCTTGTTGCCAAAGGCTACTAGTTTACACCTATCTCTAGAAAATGTTTACAAACAGTTAAAGCCCTGACCTGCAGAGGTGCAGTATGCAGCCAGGCCCATGGTCACAGCACGAAGTGGAATGCTTACATTATACAGCTGCAGAAAGAAACTTCTGTGTGCTCTTTTGATCAATGTTGTTTGATATATGTGGTTTTTTTTTAAATTTATGCTCATGCATGCTGCTCTTTTTAGACTGCACTGTTCCTGGGGTTTATTTCCCTTGGTTTTACAAAAATAAATTTTCTTAATCCCCAATGTGTTCCTGAAACCCCATTTTATGACACTCATCTTTCTTCTTTAAAAAAATACATATTTAAAATAGAATCATAGAACCATAGAGCTGGAAGAGACCTCAGGAGGTCATCAAGTCTAGCCCCCTGCTCTAAGCAGGACCAATCCCAACTAAATCACCCCAGCCAGGGCTTTGTCAAGCCGAGAATTAAACACCTCTAGGGATGGAGACTCCACTACTTCCCTAGGTAACCCATTCCAGTGCTTCACCACCCTCCTAGTTTTTCCTAATATCCAACCTGGACCTCTCCCACCACAACTTGAGACCATTGCTCCTTGTTCTACCATCTGTCACTACTGAGAACAGCCTCTCTCCATCCTCTTTGGAAGCTCCCTTCAGGAAGTTGAAGGCTGCTTATGAAATCCCCCCCCTCCCCCCGCACTCTTCGCTTCTGCAGACTAAACAGACCCAACTCCCTTAGCCTCTCCTCATAAGTCATATGCTCCAGCCCCCTAATCATTTTGGTTGCCCTCCGCTGGAGCCTCTCCAATGCGTCCACATCCTTTTTGTAGTGGGGGGCCCAGAACTGGACACAATACTCCAGATGTGGCCTCACCAGATCCGAATAAAGGGGAATAATGACATCTCTGGATCTGCTGGCAATGCTCCTCTTAATGCAACCTAGTATGCCTTTAGCCTTCTTGGCTACAAGGGCACACTGTTGACTCATATCCAGCTTCTCATCCACTGTAACCCCCAGGTCCTTTTCTGCAGAACTACTACTTAAGTAGTTGGTTCCCAGCTTGTAACAATGCTTGGGATTCTTCCGTCCCAAGTGCAGGACTCTGCACTTGTCCTTGTTGAACCTCATCAGATTTCTTGTGGCCCAATCCCCCAATTTGTCTAAGTCACTCTGGACTCTATCTCTGCCATCACGCGTATCTACCTCTCCCCCTGGCTTAGTGTCATCCGCAAACTTACTGAGCGTGCAATCCATCCCCTCATCCAGGTCATTAATCAAGATATTGAACAAAACCAGTCCTAGAACCGAACTTTGGGACACCCTGCTAGAAACCGACCGCCATCCTGACCTCGAGCCGTTGATCACTACCCGCTGGGCCCGGCTTTCTAGCCAGCTTTCTATCCATGTTACCGTCCATTTATCTAATCCACATTCCCTTAACTTGCTGGCAAGAATATTGTGGGAGACCGTATCAAAAGCCTTGGTGAAGTCAAGGTATATCACATCCACTGACTTTCCCCACATCCACAGAGTCAGTTACCTCATCATAGAAGCTAATCAAATTGGTCAAGCACGACTTGCCCTTCATGAATCCATGCTGACTATTCTTGATCACCTTCCCCTCTTCCAAGTGCTTCAAAATGGATTCCTTGAGGATCCCCTCCATGATTTTTCCAGAGACTGACCGGCCTATACTTCCCTGGATTGTCCTTCTTCCCCTTTCTTAAAGATGGGTACTACATTTGCCTTTTTCCAATCATCCAGGATCTCTCCTGATCTCCATGACTTTTCAAAGCTAATGACCAAAGGCTCCTCCATGACATTTGCCAACTCCCTCAGTACCTTGGGATGTATTAAGTCTGGACCCATGAATTTATGTATGTTTAACTTTTCTAAATAGTTCCTTACCTTTACCCACCAAGGGCTGTCCATCTTCATCCCCTCTTAGCGCATTAGTCCGGGAGCCCACCTTGTCCATGAATACAGAGGCAAAGAAAGCATTGAGTACTTCAGCTTTTGCTACATCATCTGTCACTAGATTACCTCCTTCATCCAGTAGGGGCCGCACACCCTCTCTGATCTCCTTCTTCTTGTTAACATGCCTGTAGAAACCTTTCTTGTTATCCTTCACATCCTTAGCCAGTCGCAATTCCATTTGCACTTTCGCCTTCCTGATAACCCCCCAGCATTCTCGAGCTATACATTTAAACCCCTCCCATGTCATTTGTCCAAGTTTCCACTTTTTGTAAGCTTCCTTTTTGTGCTTAAGTTCACCAAGGATTTCCCCTGTAAGCCAATCCGGTCTCCTACCATTTTTGCCTCTCTTGCTATGCGTCGGGATGGTTTCTTTCTATGCCTTCAATAAGGCTTCTTTAAATTACTGCCAGCTGTCCTGGACTCCTTTTCCCTTCATGTTAGCATCCCAGAGGATTCTGCCTATCAAGTCTCTCAGGGAGTCAAAATCTGCTTTTTTGTATTTTACTACTCTCGTTTCTTCCTTTGGTCAGGATCCTGAAATCTACCATCCCGTGACCACTGCTTCCCAGGTTGTCACCCGCCTCTACTTCCCCTATTAGTTCCTCCCTGTTTGTGAGCAGAAGGTCAAGCTGCGCACGGCCCCTGGTCGGATCCTTCAGCACTTGTGCCAAGAAATTATCCCCAACATTCTTCAAAAACTTCCTGGATTGCCTGTGTACTACCGTATTCGTTTCCCAACAGATGTCAGAGTGATTAAAGTCCTCCACGAGAACCAGGGCCTGCGATCCGGAAGCTTCTCTCAGTTGTCCAAAGAAAGCCTCATCTACCTCATCCACCTGATTCAGTGGCCTGTAGCAGACACCAACCACAACATCACTGCTGTTGTTTGCTCCTTTAAACTTAATCCATAGACTCTCAACAGGTTTTTCTCCCTCTTTATACTGGAGTTCAGAGCAATCTTAGTGCTCTCTTACATATAGTGCAACTCCTCCTCCTTTTCTCCCCTGCCTGTTCTTCCTGAACAGTCTATACCCTTCCATGACAGAGCTCCAGTCATGTGAGTCATCCCACCAAGTCTCTGTTATCCCAATTAAATCATATTTCTTGGACTGGGCCAGGGCCTCCAGTTGTTCCTGTTTGTTTCCCAGGCTTCTTGCATTAGTGTACAAACACCTCTGATAACCAGTTGATTGCCCTATCTTCTCCATTCGGATCAGGGGTACTCCTTCCTTGCTCGTTCCTCTCTGCATTTCTTCCTGGTATCCGACTTTCCCACTCCCCTTAGGGTTTTGGCCATGGTCCTCCAACGAACCTAGTTTAAAGCCCTCCTTACTAGGTTTGCAAGCCTGCCCGCGAAGATACTTCTTCCTCTCTTCATTAGATGGATTCCATCTCTTCCTAACAATCGTTGTGCCCGGAACAGAGTCCCATGGTCGAAGAAATCAAAGCCCTTTCTGCGATACCACCTACGCAACCACGCATTTACGTCCTCAATTTGACGATCCCTGCCCAGTCCTTTCCCTTCAACAGGGAGGATGGACGAGAACACCACTTGTGCTCCGAGTTCGTGGATCCTGCTTCCCAACGCTACATAATCTGCAGTAACCCGCTCAAGGTCATTCTTGGCCGTATTGTTAGTTCCCACTTGGAGAAGCAGGAAGGGGTAGCGATCCGAAGGTTTGATCAGTTTGGTAAGCCTCTCAGTCACATCCTGAATGCGAGCTCCCAGTAAGCAAACACACCTCTCAAGATTCCAGGTCCGGATACCAGATTGATGGCTCAGTCCCTCTCAGGAGGGAGTCCCCGACCACCACCACCCGTTGTTTTCTTTGACAGCAACTTGATCATTGAGCTGATACGTACACAGGCAATATTATATACATTAACATTTTACAATACCTTCTCCTCCAACACCCAATTTTAGAGGATAACAAAGGAAAAGGAAAAGATAACAATTCTCTCAGTTGTACCACTAATATTAGCACAAAAGTAAGCTACTTAAAGGTCAAAAGCTATGGCCTACTATTTTGGGGTGCTATTTCTGTAATGGATGCCCCAGTTGCCTGTCCTGCATCTTGCTCCTCCTCTTCATCCATTTTCTCACTATCTGTCTCACTGTTCATGATGGGGCCTAGGACTCAGCCTCATCAGAGATATCCAAAGTTGTTATGGGGTGGGAGTAGGGTCTTCACCAAAAGGCAAGCAGCTTGTAAGAACAACAGAACTGCTTCCTTCTGTTCTCCCCCCTGCCACTTCTTGGCTTACATGCAGCATTGCTGTTGGTCCTTGTCACGTCCCTTCTCATGCATCACCCAAGTGATCAGCTCGTAGATAGATGTCCACATTTCTACAATTTGTTTGGAGCTGCACCATGTCTTCTACCCATGCATCCAGGAGATCCACTGTCTCCTGTGTACTTAGGAATTAGTGCATCATTGGGCAGTTGCACTCAACAATGGAGAGCTGGTAGGTATGCTTGCCAGCCTGGGCAATCAAGGAAAAGGAATTTCAAAAATTTGCATGCCTTTAAAGAAAGGGGGTGAGCTTCTAGTTTAAATGACTTTTGGGCCATGGAGTTCACATTAATGTCCACAGAGGTCAATTTAGGGTATTATTGGACATCTGCTAGAGAGGACTGTTAAGCTACGTCTATACTACAAGGTTTTTGCACAAAAACAGCTGGTTTTGTGCAAAAACTGGCAGAGCATTCACACCTCAAGCACACTTTTGCGCAAGAAAATCGACAGAACAGAGGGCTTTTGCCAGTAGAGTTAGTCCTCTCCCCACAAGGAATAACTCCTTTTTGCACTACAGCTCTTACTCAAAAAGGCAGGTGTGAACGCTCTGCAGGGGTTTCTTGCTTAAGAAACCCCTATCGGAAAAAGCACAGGTGCTCTGATGATGATCAGAGCTTTCTTGCGCAAGAGCGTCCATGCAGTGTGGATGCTCTCTTGCGCAAAAGCACATCGCTTTTGCGATGCACTTTGTCTGGACTCGCTTTTGCACAAGAAGGTTTCGTGCAAAAACTCTTGCACAAAAGGCTTCTTCCGCAAAAACCCTGCAGTGTAGATGAAGCATTAGGGTTGACATAGGCAATACAGGGTGGGTCTAGACTACATTCCTCTTTTGAAAGAGAAATGCAAATTAGGGAAATTGAAAATGCAAATGAAAATGTGAAAGAACCCTTATTCCTGAAAGAATGAGGTTTACACGGTTCTTTTGAAAAAGGGTGGTTGTTTTTTTTTTTTTCAAAAGAACCGTGTCTAGACTGGTTTTTTTTTTCTGAAACAATATCTTCTGAAAAAGTGATTGGAAGAGATTATGCAAATGAAGTGCGAGATTTGTAAATCAGCACTTCATTTGCATTTTCGATTTCCTAAATTTGCATTCCTTTTTTGAAATGCACCCACACTGTCTACCCTTCTGCTGTGTTGACCATAGTACATCAGCTATGACTTCATGTCGTTCAGGGAGATAGTGTTACTGTATTGGGATAACAGGAACATATATCAGAGGGAGACAAACTTAAGTCTAAACACAAGCACGAATGGGTCAATTTTAGACACACTTAATGTCAAAATAACTTTGTAGTGTAGACAAGGCCTAAGGCCAGATCTGGGCCCTGCAATTGCAATTTAAGCTCCATTCCTGAAAAAACTTATGCAAATGGTTTGTCCTATTGAAGTCAAGCACAAGCGTTTGGAGGTGGTAGGTTAACAATCATTTTGAGAATGGAAAAGATAGAAAAGAATACCATTTACTTTCTTTCAGCTATGTTAGTTCTACACTCAGGCTCAAGAGGGATGAAAAGTAAGAACACTTTATTTTTATCTGCTGGTTTTAGTGATATGACAAAGTGCATACAGGGGGTAAAAAGGTGCTATATTTACACAGTCACATTCTTCAGAGAACTATCATGGTTTAAAAAACCAATTCCATATCCATTTCACCCTTTTAAAAGCGTTACACAGTATTCACATTTCACATTCAACTGACATAATTAACTTTAGTTCTTAAGACTTCAGTGTCATTGCTCAGTTGGAGTTGAAGTATACTAGGCACTTCTCTTTCCCAAAAGACCATCTACTAGAAGAATGCTGCAACAGAACTGCAATTTATTCTAGAGCCCAGAGTGTGTGAAATGTGACATATATACAATTTTGTAAAAGGATAGATGGCGATACTTACTCAGCTATGTTACTTGACATGCAAAGGCAGCAAACACATCTGTCTGTGGAACTTTACATTAATGCTTATCTCATGTTTCATTGGTTCCAATATATACTGCATTTCAAGTTTAGGATTGGTTTCAGATTTACTTCTGCTACTTTAGAAGTCACAAAACAGTGTGGTGTCTCTATGGTAAGATATTTATCTTTACCTCTTATACAAATACAAATTTCTCCATGTGTAGAAATTTTAACATTTTATTTTCTCAGGAACCCATATATCTTGGATTACTTTAAAAATCTGGATTTACAGTTGCTAACACTTATGTCTATTTTAAACCTCACCCTGTTTCTATTTATATCTAGATTTACATGCTGTAATCACACAAGTTCAGTTGCATCACAGTCCTAATTAGGAATCCTTCATTTTCACTTGGGTATTAAAGTCTGTAGTTTGATTGCTGACCAAAGTCATGTATTTTTGTTTGGTTTTTTTAATGTTCTGTTTTTAAAAAGTATTCAAATATTGTTTTTTCTTAGGCATGTGAAGATCCTCAAACTGTTAGCATAACATGTCACTCTCCTTTACAATTTTCTATTATGGCAGCATTGTAGATCCAAAACTATGTTCCTTTAAATGGCAGTTGTGAGGCAACTGTTCTGTTCTAAAATCTGTCACCATGCCAAGTGATGATAGGGTAAACCTATGACCCAAACAATTGCAAATAGTTCAGAAACAGTGCTAGACTAAGTATTCTGATAGAGTCCAATGTTAACCTTGAAGATGTTCATTTAAAAAGTGAATTTGCATGAACAAAAGTACACTGAATACAAAAATTCATCATAATAACAAACAAAAATCAAATTGATCAAAAATGTGAGCGAGGAACTAAACAAACAGGATCAGCTAGACATCAGTCGCCCAATGATAATATTATGTAATAAATAAGAACATCTATAGGGAAGGTGCAAGTTGTAGAACGAGAAAAAAACAGTGGGAAACGGGTTTGTACACAGAAATTGTCTCTGGGTAAGGTTTGATTATAGAGGTTCTTCTGGGCTGCCTCACACTGAGTACAAGTAAATAGAAAAGTATAAACCATACAGAACGAGTAGCCATATTTTACCAGAGCTTCGTTCCCTGGATTCTGGTCGACAATCACCTATTTCTACTCTTCTGAAGCACTGTCTATACAATAAAATTATTCATTGTAATATTTTTTTGCCATCAAGTGTAAAGCTATATCAGTGTTCTTAGCTTCCATTGCAACAACATGTTCAAGCTAGTTCATTATTATAACCAACAGTAATTTACCTAATGCAGACAAGGTTTTAGAGTGAAACCATTCTTTTAAGATTTTGATGGGATAGATTAGAGAAAATTTAAAATTTCACTCCATCTTTTGTGAAGAATATCAAGAATATTTTATTGATCTCAGAAGAGCAAAAGTAATGTAATACGTTTTATTAGGCAATAGTGATACATTTATTATTTGGACTTTGGAATATAGATGACAATGGTAGTACTTTAACCCTGGAACACATGCCAGCAGGGCTTACCTGAGGTGTACATTAAGGACTCAGTCCTGCACCCACTCAATTCAATTATAAATACTTCCACTGATTTCAGAGGGTGCAAGATTAACTCCTCCAAGGCAGTTCTAAGCACTTTTACAATGATGGAAACTCCCTTGACTTCAGTGGATTTACTCCTAATTTGTATCCAATATCACTGAGATTATAATTAAGCCCTCTATTTGTGAGTAGAACCCTCATACTCAATATGTACCAATACAGATACAGTGTCCAGATTCTTGGCTTGTGTAAATTACTAACTCCACTGATTTCAAAGGATATAAACTGATTTACATCACTGAGGATCTAGCTCCAAATATTTAAAGTGTTTAAAAGACACTCTTCTTGACTTTAATTCAAGGATAGATAAGATACATGAAATATATTTTTTGATTCAATTCCAAAGATGTAAAATGTATGCAAAATGCTGATAATGCATTTTCACAGACAAACACAGACATAACTCTCCCTTGTAGACAAAATTCCGTATCTAAACATTTCCTGTCCAGAATCAACATTTCCAGGCTTTCACCAACCAGAAAATTACTTGTGCAAGGTGATTATTACATTTTCAACGAGTGCAAGAATTTTCAAAGTTCTCTGCTTTCCAAGCAATAGAGAACACAGTGAGAGTATCAGCTGCAATCCAGAAATAGGTATACACGTTTATATTATGCAACTCTTCTAATGCAAGAGTACAGGGTACCCCTGCTATAAATCGCCTCAGTATACATCCGTTCCACACTAAAGTCATTGATGCTCGTAGGAACTGATGCATTATAAGTCCTCCCATTCCCCACTCTTAAGTTGCGCCAAAAAAAACCCCAACAAAACAACAAAAAACCCCAAACCAGTTTGTGCAAATGGAAGTCAGCTGTGGGAAAAAATATTCCCTACTTTAAGTTGTTTTGCTGTAAGTCCAATTTTTTTTGAACATATCTTGGACTTACAGTGAGGACGGCCTGTATAGTACATTAGGGTTGCCAGGTGGTTTCAACAAAAATACCAGACACACTTGACATTACATCACAATCTACATTACATCTTATTTAGAAAATACCGGACATTTATATTTTCTCAATTTGTTTCCCAAACAGAAAGCTCAAATACTGGACTGTCTGGTTCAAAACCGGACACCTGGCAACCCTATATTATATTGACAGTTTAATATAAACTAAAACTATCATAGGAAACACACAGAGCCATCCCATCCATTAGATGGTTTGGAACGGTGTCACCAGGCCCCGCACTTTAGGGGGTCCTGCGACAGCCGCCTCAACTGTCCTACCAGTGGAACCCACAGGGCCCAATATGTCCCAGAGGATTACCTAGGGGGCCTGGTGTGGGGCAGTAACAGGGGTCAACTCCCCTTCACTCACCATCAGAGCACTAGCAGCCTGCTCTGCTATGCTGCCCATCTTCCAGCCCATGGGGGGAGGGAGGGGAGGAGTGGAGCAGTGGTGGGACCTGCGGTGGGAAGATTAGCCAATGCCCCATGCCCAGGGCACTGGGAAGTGGGAGTTGCTCCAGGTCCCATACCCCCACAGGGATGGCCCTGGAAACACATAACCAGCTGGCAGCCTGTATTACACCAGTTTGTTGCAAAGAAAGCTCCGTTTAAACCTATTTCAAATGTATGCACTAGGAGACAATTTCTGTCTTCAGTTACATACTTGAAATTCTGTTGACTGCTCTGGATTTGCTCAGGTGAAACAGAGGCAAAATAAAGGGTTATATTTTCTACAAGGGAAAAGCCCAGGTAGGTGCTAGGAAACAAACTGAAAAACTGTTTTCTAAGCTGAGGTGAGTGGTTGTTCTTTTACAGAATGTGAAATGGGTTTGACCTTCCAAAGCCACTGGTAGAAATCTGGGATACTGGGAAATCCATATTGCTTTAGGGCTGTTGTATGGAGAACCAGACTTATTCTCTGGCCCTATAGTCCTTAAGGAAAGATGTTGCTTTGATCTCTACAAAAGCTTTGGCCTCAATCTTCCCATGCTTGCATTGAGGTTGTGGAGTGTTTCACACCACAGCTATGGAAGCAGCGTAAGGTAATACTGACAAGGTCATAATTATCTTGCATTGTTAAATACTTGGCAGTTTAAGGGGAACCAAAGGCCATCTGTCAGACCAGCATCGCAACTAGCTATTCTGGGGGGTGCATGCAAGATATGACTTTGGGCCCCGTCTCCTCTCATGACTCACCTCTTGAGTATTATTACTTAGCTAACAGTTATTTACCCCATCTTCTCAGTGAATTAAAGTGATTAAATAAGTTTGCATAGTTTTAATTGCATCTAGTATTTCATTTAAAGAACAAAAATGACGTTATGCAAGTAAAAAATAAGCCCTTCCCAAGTTATTAATAAAATCAAATGTCTCATAATTTAAATTTGAGAGCAATCGCCTGCATTGTTTAATATCAGATAAAATAATCCACTAATTATTCGACATGGAGAGTTGTGGAGACATACATTATACCATAAATAGTAGCATTAGAATACTTACAATTATTCTCATTTGTCTTGCTTTCATGCCAGCCCATGTTTCCAAGACTTCTGTGAAGGGGGTGGATTGTGTAAGCTTACGCTCAGTTGAAATGACTGCCAGGTTCGTTAAAAGCTCTTGGACCATTGTAAACTGCAGGCCATTTAGAAGTGGCGGGGTCAGGGCAGGGATCTGTGGCTGTGGGGGATTCAGGGCAGGGAGGCTTGGGGATGTGTGTGCAGGAATAAGGGCAGTGGGAATATGGGGAGTGTAGAAATCAGGGCACAAGGAGGAGGGTGATACAAAGAGATTTATAATGAAATGTGATGGAAAAAAATTGAGAAAAGGAAAATATATGCTGAATGTAAGGAGGAAACTACCTAGGGGCCTGTGGGAAAGTTTCCTAAGGAAAGTGGTGGAAATCCCATTTCTTGAGATGTTTAAAACTAGCTTGACAAAACACACAAACACCACACGGTAGGGAACCACATCACTGGTAGGGGAATAGGGTGAATGGACTAACAGATCTTTTCAGTCACTAGCTTTTTTCATGTTAATGATGACTAATGTCTAGCTGAGGTTTCTAAAATCTATAATAGAATCTCTTTGATAAAAATATAATAATAATTGATATTTTCTCTGAGGATGTCTGTAATAAAATGCCACCTGTTCTTTAATAGGCATTCATAATTGTGGAGAACTTCTGCATTCAACAAAGCCCTCAAAATGTACTGATGCCTCAGGGCTAGAGTCTGCTATCCTGACCTGTACTGTTTTGTACCAAGTGGTCCCAATGATCTTAATGAAAGCATTGTAGGATCTGACCTCATGACAGGGGCTCAAACCATCTTCCATGAAAGATGGTAGAGAAAACTTCTCATCGATTTCCTAAGCAGTTGGATAGGGCCCCTTTATCAGTGTCCCGTCTGAATCTAATTAGTATTTGAAAATGAAAACCGAGGTGAACAATAAAATAGGTAAAAGCTCCAGTTACCTCAGTTAATGATTATCTGGGAGACCATTCAATGAACTTAGTACCTGAGTGTGGAATTTGGAATCTGACCTTTACTACATCTAGATAAACGGCACTGCAGATTCAGAGGCTCTCCTTCACAAACTTCACTCCAATCTGAAGACTTCACTTCTTGGTAGCTTTTTTATTTAATGTGGTAGTCAAGAGCTCAGAAGAGTCAAGCATGATTCTTCTTACTGTGCTTTTCCTCTGCATCTTTTCCACATACTCCGCCTCTGTTAAAGGTAGGTCTGCACTGTGTTTGGTTAATTTTTTGGCAGTAGCAGTAGTGAATGTACAATGGTATATTTTTTACATTAGAAAGGAAAATCTTATACTAAATGAGTTAAGGAGAAAAAATTATGCATCACAAACACATGTAATGTTAGTTTTGTAATGTTAATTTCACCCTAGTTTACAGAAAAAGCAAAGGGATCAAGTGCTTCTAGTACTAGCTTTACCAGTGACCTTGGGCAAGTCACTTCATGTCTCTGTTTCCCAACTGGTAAATGGGGCTAAGGCTACTTATCCTCTTTTGTAAAGCACTTTGAGATTTACAGATTAAAAATGCTATAGAGGAACAGAGTATTATTACAACAATTTTCATTTTAGGCTCAATCCTGCAAGTGGTTGGATCAAGTGCTTCTAGTACTAGCTTTACCAGTGACCTTGGGCAAGTCACTTCATGTCTCTGTTTCCCAACTGGTAAATGGGGCTAAGGCTACTTATCCTCTTTTGTAAAGCACTTTGAGATTTACAGATTAAAAATGCTATAGAGGAACAGAGTATTATTACAACAATTTTCATTTTAGGCTCAATCCTGCAAGTGGTTGAATA